CCACGACGGAGGGGAGAAGGAGACTCATTTCAATAAAGGAAGCTCTTCCACTAAAGCAAACAAACAAAAAGCAGCAACCAGAACCACTTCTCAGAGAAGCCACTTTGTTCCGGGTGTCTGGGACCCCGCGGCGGGTCGGGCCTTACCTCGACGAACTTCTGGAAGACTCTGTCACTCTGGTGAGCTCCGATCGTGATTTCTGGGAGATAGACCGGGATGGTTGTGTAGTTCAGCACCTCCAACTTATTCTGAACCCTAGGAAACAGGACAAATACGGGTCACACCGAACCGTCAGAATAAAGGATAAAATAAATAAGGCTGATTTCGTTAAAAAAATCCATATTTAAAAAACCGTATGTTCAAATAAATGCCATTCATTCCCAAGCCGTCCCCTCGAAGCACAGTGGTAGGGAGGAAATGCTCTTTTGAAACGAACGTCGCAGCTGAGGGGCGTCTTTCAAAAGCTGGGGGGCTGCCTCGGGGGACAGGTGCAGACTGGAAACATAAAAAGGAGCCACAGTGTGCTGTAAACACGGGACAGAGAGCTAAAATCAAACACCATGTGCTATGTAGCCAGGCACATAATATGTCCTCATTAAAGAACTGTACAATTAATGAGTCTTGAGGAAAAGAACTTCTGAGTCACTCCGTCCCCCTGGGTGGACAGCACAGCACGGGGCCCCCGCTGCCCGGAAGTCTGGGCGGGCCGGGCCGGGCCGGGCGGACTCCCACACGGGACGGCCTGCTGTACCATCGCTCATAAATGCACCATTCTCTGCTTTCTCGGCACCGATAAAGTCAAGTCCTGGGACCCTCCCTGTTTCACCATTTTGTTTTGCCCATTTCTAAAATATTTATACTTTGTTATAATTTGCTTAAATTAAACTTGGTCTGAATATAACCACTATACTTGAAGATGAAAAGCATTTTTGGGGCTTTTAGAAAGAAACATTAAAATAAAGTCCTGTCTTAAGGGCTCAAAGCAAAGAAAATAATTACTTTAAATGGCCACTTTCCCATTAAGGAGTTATAATGGCAGATGTTTCTGCTTGTAATGGCTCAGATGGAAGTTCTTTAACCGTCTCTGGCCCTCGGCCACTGCGTGGGAACGAGCCCAGGCCCATCACACAAACCCAACCAAGCCCTGTCCCCGGCCCCCTGGGCCGACTCCGCCGCAGTCAGAACCCCCCGATCCAAATCCAGGGCCCAGAGGTCCACAGTCTCTCCCCTCGGAGGACCACAGGACAATCAAAGCCCACGGCAGGTGGAATGCGATTGGACAGGAGGTAATGTCACATCCAAGTGTCACCAGTAAAAGCCACGTCACTCATACAATGACTGATAATCCAATAACCAAATGCTGCCAGGACAACGTGTTTGTCTCTCCCAAGGGTCCCGGCGCGGACACGCACACGGCTGGAACGCATGTGCTCCAAGACCAGTCTCTGTTTCAACAGGAAGTGGGGTACAGCATATCCTTCATAAGCATGTTATCAGTACACATCTTTTTACTTTTAACGCAAAAAGAATTATTCTATGACACAAGGACAATTTTTAAAAGTGATCTAGCAATAAATAATTTCAACTAAAAATGAAGTTCGTATTCTTATATGTTAAGGAATATCATGGCAGAGTATGATGTGGTGTTCTCTATAGTTTGAAAACCCTAAAAAATTGTGCAAAATTTGAAAGCGCTTCTTACTAGCCTGGGAACGAGCGAGGAATACACAGAACAACAGCGCCATCTATGCCTAGTTTGGCGGAATTACAGTTTACACATAACCACCCCACAACAAAGGATGCAGCTTTGAACAAATATGCTTCAAACTGTTTTTGAAAATTAAAAAAAAAATAATCTGCTGCAACTATTCCACAATTTACTTAAACTGGCTAAAATGCTCTCTCAATGTATTACAATGAGCTTAATGACGGCTGTTAGGAGAGGCTGTTAGGCAGCCCATCTCCAGTAACCCCAAGTCTTAACCTCTAATAAACTACAAATACAGTCTAGATTGAAGATAAGGAAGGAACGAAGACAACAGGAAGCTTTTATGACTCACGAAGCAAAAAGCAGCGAAAGCAGGCATTCTGCTCAGGGAGCACTTACTCTAATGAAGGAGAATTCAGAACCGGCTGAGGATAATAAAGCCACTTAGCATCGTGAGCCTAAGTGCCCACGTCAGAAGATAACCCGAACTCAAATCTGGTTTACAGCACAAGGTGCTGTGCCCCAGATTTTAAAACAAAAGACCGAGGTAGGAAAAGACCGAAAAAAGTAAAATAGTAAATTCTGTTTTATGACTTAACCTGGTCCCCAGTCAACAGAATGTCTATACGTGCTCCTTAAACGTTTCCAAGGCACAGTTTTTAGTTTCGCCCCGAACTGTAAAGTCTGTTTGAAACACTTACTTCTGACACAGCCTGACGCCTCACGGCTTTTATAGCACTGAATGACACGTCACGTTAGAAGGGCATCCTCCAGGGTCTCGGGGTGCGGGGGAGAAGGGGAAGCCCCGGCTCTGGGGAAGGAGGGGGCGGCCCAGGGCCCCAGGCAAGTGGAGGCCTGCCTGGCAACCGGTCGCCGACACGGGCGGGGCCCTGCGGCATGGGCGCCAGTAAGTCACGGGTACGAACCCACAATGCTGCCCAGGCGGAAACGGTTACTGTCTCTTAGCACACGCACGCACACGCACGCACACGCACGTGATCGCACACCGACATGCACGACTGGGACAGCACGAAAACGCCCTAAACCAATCATTTCACCAAGTTCTGGACAAAATGAGTATAACTAGTAAACAGCACGTTTACAATAATTATCCTAGAAAATTGGTCGTAATTTTCGTTTGAGCCCCCAAATTAAGAAATGATACCAAAATGAAAGTAAACATAATTGCCACCGTAACCGTCAGGAAATACCCTTGGGAAACAGAGGAGCAGAAAGCTGGGAGACAGGAAGGCCAAGGGCATGTACAGTAAGCGAATAAAAAATTAACTAAATGCTGTAACGGAGACTCTTAGGGAATTCCAGGCTCGTCCTCCAAGCTCTGACAACTGCGTAACTAAACAACCAAAACGGTGATTCTGAGACGTGAACCTCGGACTCAGTCGGGAACCAAGTCGCACGCGTCCCAGCTGACGGTTAGGGGACGGCACTGAGCTCCCAGGGCCCACCACGGGCGGGCATGTCCACTCGGCACGGTCGGCCTCCGTGTCCCGATGCGGCAGCCCGCGGACTTGGAGGGCCGGCGTGTGCACGTCCCAGGCCACTTCTGATCAGGGACTGGAACGTCAGCCGATCTGGTGTTCACAGGGGGCCTGGAACCGCCCCCCGCAGATACCAAGGGACGACTGAAATTTGGGAGGAGTCACAACTTCTATGCGAATTTTCAAGAGCATCGCGACTTCCCCTGGAGCATCGGCCTGGCGCACTGGGCGGTGAGAACGCAGAGGGAGGTGGGATGCGTGGCAGGGGCGTCTCACGGGGTGGGGGAGGGGGAAACAGAGCACTCCGCTTGGGCACCTGCACCACCTGTGAGGCGGCGGGGCCCCCGAACGAGGACTCGGGTGCACCCTAAATGCACGCTGGAAACGCTGCACGGGAACAACGGCAGCTTTAAAAGTACAGGCGACGTGCTCGCAGAGGCAGGAAACGGAACCACGCAGAATGCGCAGTTAGAACCCGAAGGCCAAAAAAGGCAGCGGGAGAAAACAAGGAACGGGAGCAACGAGAGAAAATAGTGACAGACAAACGTATCGACATTCACTCAAATGTGAACTGTCCAAATGTGCCAGTCAGAAAACAGAAACTGTCAGAGACGGCAAAGAAAAACAAGACAAGACTACCTGTCGCCTCCCAGAAGCCCGCCTTCCATCAAACACGGCTGACAGTGCCGGGTGGAGGAGGACAGACCACGCCCACGCCACTCGAAAGCTGGGACAGACGACCCAACTTCAGACCAAGCAGAGCCCAGAAGCAGCACACCATCAGGGACAGAGAGGGGCGCTACACATAGACGACGACGGGGGGGTCGGCTCCCCAAGAACACAGCAGCCCGCAACGTGCGCTAACAACACAGCGTCTGAGCACACGCGGCAAAACGAACAAACTCGAAGGAGAAACAGACGCGTCCACTGTGGCAGCTGAGGACGTGGATGACCCGCCAGTGCACTCGCCGACAGCAGGGCCCGCCTCGGCCCACCTCGGCCGGAACACTCGCCACGAGAGACAACGTCCCTGACCATGTCCGACACCTTAACAGATACAAAGGAGCAGAAATCAGACAAAGCATGTTCTCAGGTCACAGTGGAATTAAACCGGAGAGAAATTGACAGCACCGAACGCACAGGTTGGAAACGAGGACCTAAAGCCATCGGCCACGCTCCCACCTTACAAACGGGAGAGCAGCACCTGGAGCCTAAGGGAGCAGACTGAGGAACATCGACGGAAGCTGATTCTTTGAAAAGATCAATAAACAGGAAGAGAAAATTTACAAAGAACAAATAAATAGGTGATAAAAATATAAATGAAGTTCAGTGTTTATAAAACGCAAAATAAAGAAATGCTGTCCTTTGGGTATTGTTTTAACTATGCGGTCTTAACGGGGACTTTCAGACGCCCTCACGAGCTTGCAAACCGCTGCGTTTTCTGGAGGACGATTCTGCAGTGTGGCAACAGTTACGACATACTAACCCGACCTGACCCAGGGACTCCACTTCCACACCTGAAGACAGTGACCTGAAACGGGACAAAACGTGTACAACGTGCTCGTCGCTGTTACGGCTGTGAAGAAACGGAAATACCTTGGAAGAGCGATCCTGAGAAATGGTAAAAGAATTACGCCTGTATCTCAAGGGTCGACAAACGGTTTTTCCACTAAAGGACCGGAGAGTAAATATTTAAGGCTTCAAGAGCGTCATGTGGTGTCACATATACCTTCTTTTTTATTTACGATCCTTTAAAAATGCAAGAACCATTCCTCCCAGCCAACGGCGGGATTTGCCAAACCCTGATTTGTATCTCAGTCAGTGGATTCAAACAGCAGACGTGAGGAGCCATTAAAAAACCAAATTCTAGAACATTTACTGTAACGGGGCACGTTCACACTATTAAGAATAGAACACAGAGATGTGTGCATGACGACATCCAATCAGAACTACTGGAGCGGACCTTTAAAGCGTCAGAAGAACCGTGAAGCTGCTACTGTTGGCTACGGTGGCGGCAGAATAGCAGATGACTTCATTTTATTTTGCCTTTTGTCTCCTGACTTTCTCCTATGCGTGGGCATGGCCTTGACCTTGACCTCTCATGCCCTTGCTCCCGCCTTCTGAGCAGTGCCCCTCACTCCTGTCCCCAGGCTAAGCTGCCCACCCCTCTCCCCTCTGCCTGACCCCTGGGCTGGGCTGTGGGTACGCCCTCCCTGCGCCCCTGCTCAGGGCCTTCCCGCCGGACACCACCCCTCGGTCACTCGGGCCTCTTCCAGAGCAAGGCCCCCGCCCCCCATCGCTCAGGGCGACAGCTCCACTGACGCGGTGCCCACCTCCCCCCAACAGCATCAGTCGTTTCTGACACCAAAGCCACCACCACATCGGAGCACTGCCCGGCAGGCGGGGCAGCGAAGCAAATGCTGACTGAGCAGGGCCATCGCTCGGTCCCCTCGGCCAGGGAACACCGGTGCCGCGAATGCCCGACCTGAAACACAAGCACTTCGAAGGCCTGGAAGGCTCTCCAGCAGGCAGCACGCTGAGCTCAAAAGCAGCCCCCTCGCCCCGTCGGTGCCCACGGCCCCAAACTCACAGCATCCGCAGAATGTGGAAGGTACGGTCGTCCTGGTTGAGCCACGGCCCTCTGTCATACTTGAGGTATTCGATATCCTCCACCACCTAGACAGAAAGAAACCCAACTCCGATGGAGTCTCACTTTAGACAGTTAAATGACACATTGTGACACACTATAAACTACATATATCTGGCAGGAAGAATCACGCCACGAAAGTCAGAAAGAAAGGAAGTCAGATGGCCATCGGCGAGGTGGCTGAGTGATGACCCCTCAGTGCGGGCGCCTCCCCCAGCTGAGGAGTGGGTCACAGGGTGCCGCTGGTCCCCAACATGGGACCTCGCCCAGCTGACTTTGGGGTGCTGTAGAAATTACCGGGCAGCCTGGGAGAAAAGGGCCAGGGAGAAGAGGAACGAGGACCCAGCGTGCGTGACGGACCGCGCGCTTCCTCCCAAGAAACTTCGTTCCAGAAGCGGGACCCACGGGGGCAGCACGGGACACGAGAGCAGAAGCGTTTCCTGGCGGGTCCAGGAATCAGGGTCCCCAGCCCACAGCCTGCGGCGGCACCGGCGGACGCTGTGGCAGCCTTTTAAGATCTAGTCTCTCCCCAAACACATCGAACTCTGAAAACTCTCTTTAACCCTCAAGAACTGGAGTACGTTCAATTACGAACACAAATAATGACAGTTTTAGAGGGAAAATGTGTTCTTCTCAAATACATGCCATCTAATTATTCTGTCCGAGGATTAAAAATAATCTAAAACGAATCGACACCACACAGGAAGTGGGGAAGGAAACGAAGCACAGCTTCAGAGGTCCATGCAGGGGAGCCCCTCAGCGGCCCCCGCCGTCCCGGAGCAGGGCTCACGGGCCCCGTCCTTCGGGAGCAGCCTCCTCAGCTTCTCCCCGGGGCCACGAGGCAGCTAGCTCAGGGTTTCACCCCTGCACCTGACACCTGCCCCCAGATCATAAAACCCGTATTTTCTTCGAGAATTTGTATGCCGTCTGCTGTGTTTGGCAGTGGAGGTTTAATGTATCCTGTAAGGCGGTGCTCTCATTTTTACCAAATGACTGGTCGACTGCGTCCACACCATCTGGGAAGAGTCCGCGGCCTCTGTGTCTTTACTACCCTTCAAAGCACTGACTTTACCAAAATCAGGGTCTCCCATGCACGTGCGCACACGAGCAGACGCGCCCGCGCCCGTCTGTGGCCTCCGTTCTGCTCCACTGACCTATTCTCAACCTCCCACGGCGCTTTCGTCACCATGATTCTGTGCCACGTTCTGGGACGTGGGAGCGCCAATGTTCCCATGGTGCTCTTTTTCAAATTTTTTTTTTGGCTATTATTCACTAACTGCACTGAGACTGACTTGAATTTTTACAAAATGCACCTACTGATTCGGGGAAATGCACCTAATTACCGCTAATTTTACCATCTGCACAATAAAAACACTGCTGCGGACACGCTGGGGTCCTGGCATCGTCACCATCCACAATGTCAAGTTCACAGAAACTGCATTGTCTCAAAGGAAGTCACAGTGACGACCAGGGAGAGTGATGGCCGGCGCGGAACTTCTCCTAGATCGCAAAACAGAGACATTTCTCCGACCAGTGGGCACTGAACGGATTATCTGATTCGTGACAACCTGACACGTGACTCAAATTTAAGAATCGCAAACTTTTCAGCCACTTTCTTACCTTTTCCGCATCTTGAGCTTCATTCGCACTATACACTAAGACCTCGCATTTTTCACTGTAAGAAAAAGCAAGATGAAATTCAATATAAATTTCCCAAGCTTACGTTAACGTACAAATGGATAGATTACATTATCGCCTCCCACTACAAACACTAACATGTCATGCTCCTGAACCAGGTGACATGCCGAGCACAGAATGGCTCACGTGGCTTCCTGGTTAAGGAAGACAAGTTACAAGCAGAAATGTGCTCGTGACCAGACGGTGATGACGGCACTTCTATTTCCTGGCTTGCTGGCTGTCCCCTACCCCATGGGCGTGAGAGACCAGAGCCACCAGTGTCTATAGGGGACAAGGCACACAGGTCACTTCCACTGCTAAGCAAACCATCTCCAGATACAGCACTTATCACAGGCAAATACAAAGTAGTACAGGGCCTAACCAAGACGTGTGCACAGACAGCAGCCAAGTGGTAGTGTTGTGCACGCGCGTGTGCACACGCACACACTCCAAAAAACCCACCCACCCACCAAATTAAACTGAAGTGTGTGCTGCTTGCAAACATCAGATCAAAACATCAGAGACAGCGCCCACTGTAGCAGGGGAGCCCGCCCCCTGGGGGCTGGGGCTTGAGGCACTGCGTGTGACGCGTGTGACGCGTGTGACGTGCGCCCGTCAGAGGTCATGCACTTGGCCCACCTCATCTCAGGGAGGAAGGTTTTCTTGTAGGCATTCTCGATGGCCTGAAGGTAGGCGGCGGAGATCTTCATCTCGTGTGGCTAAACGCAGCAGAAACACAAGGGGAGAACCGTTCAGACGCTCCTCACGGCAGAGCTCGTGCAAAACGCGACCACCACCAACGAACACTGTTCCTGAGAACGAGTCCCGGGCGGGGTGCTGCAGGGACTGCGGGGACAGAAGGGCCTTGGCCACGCAGAGCTCCCCTACTGCAGTGAGCCCCCGCGTCCGCCCAGGACAACGCACGGCACGCCCTCTCCCATGGGCCCCGATGGACGCGTGCACAGGAGCAGAAAGGACCCTGCGCAGCGGCCACGCCTGCCTTTCCTGCTCCCCCGCGTGCCTGAGGGCAGCTGCAGACAGTGGGGGACAGCTGAGGGGCAGCTGGCCGGGCCCCCGTCCATCTGCAGCACTCTCCAGCCCTCCCCCACTGTGCCCACTCTCTCCACCCCTCCCTCCCGCCCTTCGTCATCTGAAGTTTGCTAAGCGATTTCAGAAATTTAAACTCCAGTTATGAGTGGCAGTTGCAATGTTTAAACCTCTTCCCGCTTAGCAATGCTAAAGGTCAAGTTATATTACGTTGCGCTGTCTTCTCTTCTTCAAGGCATTCGCCTGCTCGATGTGCCCCTTATTTATTTCCTGGCTTACCACTGGTCTCCCCCACCAGAATAAGAGCACACACTTAATGACATCATGTCCCTTGGGTAAAATGTCCCCTTTTCTTACATGCGGTGGTAATTTTAGCTGGTGATAGTCTTCAAGACCTTACTTGGAAAAATTAAAAAGTTGATAGTTGTAACTTGGATCTCAAATTGCTTTTATTATCCCGGACAGCAAAAGAGTTATCTAGAGAATTCTGAATGTGTCTCTGTTATCCAATAAGCGTCACTGCGGCCAGCAAAGGCGTTCAGAACTGCTCCACCGAGTGACAGCTAAATATTTCGACTTGCACTTCCCTCCTGTTGCCACTCGATGGGATGTTCTCGGAAGTCTGAACTGCACATCGCCCTGAAGAGCACACTCCTGGCCAACAAAGGGCACAGACGGGCAGGGAGCCGGAGCCGGGCCTCGCGGCGGGCTTCCGGCTGCGGGGAGGACGGCACTGCGGCCTCGGGACCTGGCGGTGGCAGGGCAGGCGACTGGCCCCTCTGCTGCCCTGGGCGGAACCCAGCTGGCAGGTGACCACTGAGCACCCGGACAAACACACAAGACGAACACACAGGCAGCTCCCCGTCCTCATCCCGGGAAGAGCCCTGTGTGGGAGCGGCCTTTCCAAACAAGAACTTGTCTCGTTTGGCAAAGTGACCCCTTTGTCCCTGCACCCCCCATCATGCCTGCAGAACCGTGGGAAAGCAAAACGCGAGGTCTGGGCACCTCGCTGAGCCTGACCAAGGCCACGGCAATAAAGGGACGCGTGTGCCGACCACGCTCTGCTGGTCCAGAACCGGCCGGCAGGAAGCACGGACAGCGGGGCGGCCTCGGACCAGCAGCTGGGAGCCCGGAATGGGAAGCACAGCAGGGCCGGTTTCCACTCGCCGGGAGACGCCGGCAGGAAGTCCCCGCCAGAGAACAGTGGGTTCTTCCAGGGCACTCGCCCGCCCTCACAGGAGGGTCTGTCTGGGTGACACAGTGGCCGGCATGAGGGACCGAGGAGCGCTAATGCCGAGCGGTGGCTGACCAGAGGCTTCCTTCAGCCCACCGGTAAGCGTCCGCTCGCTCAGCGGGACCCGCTGTGTGCCACCCGCCCCGTGAGGCCCGTCGGTTGTTTACGGCAGCCGACGGTACGCGTCACTGCTGAGCATCGGGCTGCGAGAAAACCACGGGCCACAGCAGGAGACCGGCCTTCCCCTCAAAAGCCGACTTACGTCTCCCTTCTTCTGAATCCGGCTCTGGAGCTCTGGAACGGGCACGTCGACGTAGATGACCACGTGGGGGGGCAGGTACTCCCGGATGGTGACCTTCTTCACCTCGTAGTAGTGGTTCACACCTGGCGCACACAAGCAGCGCCGGCCGTCAGCCGACCGTCCGCACGCGCGTCTGAAACGCGCTTCTCTTTCCCATGGAAGGGCACACGTCCCAGAGCCACATCCCGGTCACAGCCGTCAGCACTGGCTGCCCAAGCGACCTGTGATGGCACTGCCAGTGCCTGGCACTCGCGGGAGCCCCGTGGGCCCGGAGAAACCGGCGGCTCGCTTGAGGCAGCACCGGGACACAGGGCCCGGCTGGGAGGGCCCAGCCGGGGGCGGCCTCTCCTCCCGGGGGAGCGGGACACAGTGCGGACAGCCCTGTGTGTCTACTCCTCGTCGTGGTAACAGATGAGAGTCCGAGCCTCTCCGGGAGCAGCGGGCCTTTCATGCACTCTGTTCCTCAATAACTCAACTGAAACGCTGCCGAGCTGCGTCTACCTGCGCTCACTGCACCTCGGTGAATCGGACCGGCCACCAGACCAGCCACGGAAGCAGACTGAGCGACAGAGAACAAAACTGAAGCAGCTGAGGACCCCACCTTAGTGACCATCGTAGAGAACGTGTCACACGGTCGGCGACCCCATGAGGACTGTGACACCCAAGAGCGCCCCACCGTTCTCCCGGAGACTCCGCCCCCTCACGTGCTGGAAACGCGGCCACGTCAGCAGAACCCGGGAACACGCTCCCGGCCCCGGGAGTGAAACCGCCACGGGAGCCATGGCAAGAAGCCAGTGTGCGGATCGCCACGTGGGGGAGGCTTCCAGAAGCAACAGACCTGGGTGGCCACGCCAAGATCCACAGAAAGACGATTCTGCGCTAAAGAAAACATTCAGGTGGCCACTCCTGGGGACTTCCGCTTTAGAGGCCATTCGGGACGGGCCTTTGATCCGCGGTCAGCAAGGCTGTGGGCGGAGGACTGGGAAAGACGACCACGCCAGTGTCACCAGAGTGGACGACTCGGGCTCCCTGTGGAGGCCGCCCGCTGCTCGGAACAGCGGGACACACCTGTGCACTCAGCAGACGCTCGGCCTCCCGGGGCCTCCTATCTGCCGCCACAAACAGGCCCATCTCCCCACCACCAGGGACTCGCCCTTCCCCCGCCCCCTCCTCCAGGCGTCCATGTCGCTCCCTTCCTGTTCCTTAAGCAACATTCCACCTCGTTGTATGTCACCTACCCTTAATCTCTCTTCCCCCAAACCAACATCGGAATGGCTCTCGCTAAAGTCACCAGCCTCCTAAAGGTCACTGCTCAATTCTCGTCACACTAGATCCCATACACTCGCGTGGCACTGCCCACTGCCTCCTCCTCGGGCTGTGTGCACCTGTGACCGCTCAGCTTCGATCTGCAGTGGGCGACCCTGCACGGGGCTAGCCTCAGGTTTCACCACCCTCCGTGGGCTCTGCCAGGACAAGCGCTTCCACTGTGAGCGCTGACTCCCCAAAAACCCATCTCCAGCCCAGACCAGGCCTCCAGATCTCTGGACCTGCCGACAGCGCCAGCTCCCCGCACGCCCACACGCGGGGCGGTCCCCTCAGCCTCTCCCTACTCTCCCACAGAGCCGACCACCCCTAGCCTCGTGCACGTCTGCCATGTCTCAGGTCCGCCTGGCGCGCCCACTGCCAATGCGCCCTCACCGGACAGCCCCGGACAGAGCAGTGCAAGCCAAGCCCACGCCCCGTGCCCGAACCGCCAGGGGCTCTCAGGCCTCAGGAGAAACCCGGGTCCTGGCCAAGGCCCCGCCCCTCCCCCTGCGCCCGCTGCCTCGCTGGTCCTGCGGCAGCCCCGCGGCTGGCCGGGCATCCCGCGTGCTCTCCCCGCACCCGGGGTAACGCTGAGGGAACCGCGAGCGTGTCATGCTGCAACGAACCATCCCGTGGCTTTACCGCACCCCCTCCCCGCACGGCAGCCCAGTGCGAGCCTCATCTGCCACCTTCACACCCCTGGCACCCCGCGCGGCACCCGCACTTGGTAGACACCGGCTGACCAACCTCACATGCTGCTCAGAATGGTCTACAAGTGCCTCCCCTCTAGCAAGGGGGACACAGTGGCAGAGAAAGGGCTGTGGGCCCCCAAGCAGCAGGGCATGTGAACCCACCACCGGCAGAGGCCTCGCCCCCGACGCACAGCGGCTCGCTCCGGTCCCCATTCGTCAGGCAGTGACGCCTGTGCCGCCCTCCACATGTGGCTGCCCGTGGCTCCAGCCAGCCCAGCACCGGGGGATGTCACCCGCCTGTCCACAGCGCTGCCCCAGCACACTCCTCGTCACGGACACCCTGGTCCGTCAGTCCTCCAGGTCATGTGACCTTTAACCAGGAGGGCTTTATTTCTGTCCATCTGCCACATGTCAGACTTTCAACAACGCCCCAACACAGAGCCACTGTCCCCAAAAGCACCTGACCATCTGTGTCAGGGGGAAGCAAAGGATGGAGGTCATGCTGTCACTAGGTGCATGACATACAAGACGCCCTGATTCCACACAAGGCCACGCGCTGGGGCCTGGGGTGTTGAGTGGCGTTAACTCTATCGACCGGAGGGAAACAGCTTGTGTACCACGCCAGGTGAACAGAGCCAGGGGAGGTCTCCCGGGGACTCTGGCTGGCAGCGGGGGTCAAGCTGTGTGCTCGAGGATCCAGGACCCACCCCACTTTCACAGGATGCGATGTCAGGAGGAAAAGAGGGTGAAGGAACCACCCCCCACCCGTGGAAACTTCGTGAGTAACGGCATTTAGCACACGCGGCCTGGGACACCCGAGGCGAGTCCGCCGCAGCCGTCACGGAGCTGACCGCGCCCAGGCCGCGCCGCGCGTGGACTCACACTGCTTCCGGATGAAGTGCTGGCTGTACATGGCCTCCACGAAGACGAAGTCGCTGAAGATGGAGCGTTCCAGCACGACGCCCTGTCCTGTTTCACAGCAGGGAACACGCACAAAATCAGACACAACCACCAAAGCACTGGAAACAGTAATTAGGTTTTAGACAGCGGGGAGAGACGTTATTCACAATTCCACATCTTTCCAAAGGACGTGCACGTGCTGCTAAGCGGGGAACCGGTTCCAAACCTGCCGCGCTTTTCGGTTTGGACGTTTTAACATCCGCGTCATCCCGTCAGCCACGGCAGACGCACCCCCGGCGTGGCGGCGTCTTGTTAGACCACGGGTTTCCCGCCTATGACCACGGCCATCCTGCTCCCGCCGCAGCCACTCGGTGTGACCCAGGGTCGCCCACGGCTCCCCTCGGCCCCCATGTGCCACTCGCCAGCGAACATCAGCTCTCTCCAGCATTCTACGCCAGTCCCGCGCCACCCTCTCAGCAGGAGGCCCCTCACCTCTACCAGGGCCAATCCCCACGTCCTTCCTGCCCCGGCCGCCCCCAGGCAGAGGGCCCTTCCAGACTGAGGCCGGACCCCATCGCTGCCCCGCGGAAGCCTCCCGGTGGCTTCCTCTCCTTCAGAAAGAAAACCAACGAGCCAACCCCCTCTCCGGCCACTTCTCTGACTCAGCCCCATCCACTCCCAGCCACTGCGGACTGTCACCACAGCACACAGAGAAGCTTGTGCTGGTCCCCAGGGGACCCCGACGGTCTCCCCGCACTCGGCCCTGCTGTGCCTGGGTAGAGGCCCCCGGATCTCCCCACCCACGAGCGGCCCCAGCCCTGCTCTCCGCACTCACCACTCACCACCGACCACCCTGCATCTCCGCTGATCTCCCCAATTAACACGTGAGCCCCGGGGTGTGGGGCTCTACCTCCTGGAAGACGCCAGCTCCCAGAACACCGCGCACACAGTGGGCGCCTGTAAGTACCTAATGGGTGCATCAGTATTAAGACAAAAGGAACTAAGTTTTCCTTTCAAATGTCTCTTTTTAGTTCTAAGAAATGAGAGTCCTCAGAGCTGAACTATGCTCCAAAAAGACGCCCAGTGAGCCGAGTGTCACGGTTACCACCAGCCACGCGCTGGGCCACACGTTAACACGTGGGCTCCTGCAAGCAAGATCCCATACAGAACATGTGCGGGCAGACCGCGGTGTTTCTCAGGGGCAGCGCTAACCAAAATCAGGGCTTACGTCCACAGGAAAAAAGTATCACTAACACAGGTTGGAAAAGCAAGACCACAACTAGGCCCTCTGTGACCCTTTAAGAGCGAGCATCGCCCTGTGTTCGGTGGCACGGGTGGTGCTCCGGGACCCCCCGGGCTACAAATGCAGGCTGAGCCAAGCTCCATCGCTCACCTGGGGTCCTTGTGAAAAACACACTCTTGTTCTCAAGTCCAGGCCCCATGAAGCCGAACCTCTAGGTGGCAGCTGAGACATCTATCAATGAGCTCACCACGTAACCAACTGCTGACCAGCTGTGGCAACCACTGCTGTGTAACACAGCTGGCACAAACCACCTAATCTTACACGCACGCGTGCATGCACACACGCCAGTTGCTTCTCCCCGAGAACTGTGAACCGCCCTGGCTTGGCCGGTTTGGCCCAGTACTGGCCGTGCATCTGCGTCTGCCTCCCAGGATGTGCTGGGGACTGTGTTTAGCCACACTGGTTCCCAGGGCACAGTCCCGCCTGGATTCCGACCTCATTCTGCACTCTGCGGACAACCTGTGCTCCCGCTCTATGTCCTCCCTCCGTCCACCGGAAACTTCCAGGGCCACACGGCCCCTTTCTGCGCAGCCCGGCACATTCCGCCTCCCTCGCCCGTGTCTGCGGACGGATGGTGAATTCCGGTCCATCTCTGGGCCCGCAGCAACAGCCCGACCTACACGGCACGCGGCCCCATCCTCGCGACTGTGAGCCCACTTCCTTCCAGGCATCCAGAGGTTCTTTCCTCCAAATTCCACATAATCCATAAGCCTCACTCCGGCACGCGAAAAATCAAATAGGAATAAGTGCATTTTATTCCGAAGCAACAATCAGGCAGGTCCTGGGGAAACAGAACTCGCCTCGCCGAACGCCCTGAAAGCCAAGCGCACTAGTGGCAATCCTAAGCGGCCGAGCTCTAGAACGGGGTTCAAGTGCAGAACGCGCCCGACAGCTCCGGGACGAGGCCGCCGCACCTGTGCTCAGCAGGTGCTCCAAGGCGTCGGCGTACTGCAGGAGGCGGCTGGCGTACAGCCAGGACTGCAGGCGGTAACTGTTGCCGTCGTTGCTTTTCGGGTCGTCGTAGAACTTCTCCAAGCTGCAGTTGCCACTGAGCTCCACGTCGAGCGGCTTTCCGTCCCCCGTGGTGCTGTCCGCATAATGGATCCCGGCTTCAGGAAAGTACCTCAAGCCTGAGGGGAGAAACGGCCGGGTGAAAGGGGATGCGGACGAACAGCAGCCGAGGCCGGCCGGCGACCTGGGGAAAGTGACCCACACGCCCGCGCTCGTGGGTGTGAACGGAGCACACGAGACGCCAAAGTCAGCGTGTCCAAAACACACGTGTAAGCCAAGCATGGCGGCCGAAGGTGGCAGCGCGTGCCGCGGTGCCCGCGACCCCGAGCCCGCGTGCGATGGGCAGGTGCCCGCGAGAAGCTCCTGCAAAACAGGGTGCGCTGGCGTCCTGGGCAAGGAGCGCAGTGACAGCCCCGCCTCGGAGGCCTCGGGAAGCGCCCGTGACAACGCTCCGCTTCCGTCACCAAGGCAGGATTCAAACTGACAATGGCATGAAGTTTTTAACTTTCCAAATGTGGAAGGTTCAAACAGCTTTTCAAGAAGTATTTTTAAAAATGTGAAATACCTGCCTGAGGCCTGATTCTGCCTGGTCCACATTTAAGTAAAATCAAACTCACAGAAGCGACCATCCGAGGAAGAGCTGTCACACCACGCGACAGTGTTCGTACCTAGCTTCTCCGCTACCACCTTCGCAAGCTTGCTCTTCCCGGAACATATATTGCCATCGACGGTTATCACTCTGCTGCGTTCTGTCAGCTTTTTGGTCGTCCTGTCGCCAAGGATGAACGCCAAAGGGCCGTACTGCTGCAGCTGGCACTGCGCACTTGTATGAACTCCTCCCTGAAAAACACGGCAGGCACGACAGCACACCGTGAGCGCTGGTGACCGCGGGCACTGGCGGCTGGTGGGTAAAAACGCCGAGGAGACCCCTGGTTACAAAAATGCCGACACCTGCATCTTGCATCTCTACCACCTGTTTGTTTAACGCCCCGTCTCCTTGTCCCACCCCTAACGTGAGCTCCTAAGGACAGGGGACGGTTTTGTTCGCTGCTAAATAATCCTCAGGGCCTGGAACAGCTTCTGGAACAGAGTACGCTTATCATGTTCAATCAAATTGGATGGACGGATGGACGGACAGATGGGAGGAAGAAAGGCAGGCAGAGAGAAGGGGGGTTAGGGGAGAAGGGAGGAAAGCAGCGAAGAACATCCCTCTACTACAGGCTTCCGTCCTCACTATCTCGCTGCCTTTAACCAGCGCCATCTACATGTCCTGAGAGCTAACGGGCCTAAAACTGAAATCGAACATGCAAAACGCAGCCAACGGTGAAGCCTTTGACAGCCTCCTCTTCCTCCGACTGCGCAATCGGTCACGAAATTCTACTGACCTTACGCCTTAAAGCTCCCTGCGGCACGTCACGTCCCTACCCCATGTCACTGGTTCTGGAGACATCCTCGCCTCTCTCACCTACAATGCAAACACCTGCCTCATCTCCTGTCTCCAACATTCTCACTCTACTTTCCGCATTAAAGCCCAAAGAATCTACCCCCCCAAAAAAGAGGAAAAAAACACAATCGAAAGGCAAAAACTGAGGAAAGTTCCACATAGAGGTTGTACAGACCAATAAGAAAAACGGGACAGAAATGCATAGTTTATTCTATAAAAATAGCCAATAACCTTATGAAAAAAGTTCGATCTTGCGACAGAAAGCAAACAAATTACTAACAGGAAGAAAACACTTCTTAATGTATAGAACTGAGAAATACTTTATTTTTTTAAATGAAGAGTGAGAGCTGGGATGGGACAAAGCCATCCCAAACTGCGGACGGTAATGTAACAATGTAACATAGACGCTGGGCCTCAGGCTATCAGGAATCTATCCTAAGGGACCACACACAGATTTGTGCAAAGATTTACCTACAAAGATGCTCAATAAGATCTAGTTTGTAACATCAGAAATGTAAGTAGAAACTCTTACTGTCCAACAACAGAGGAGGAGCTAACAGAGGTGTGTCCATATTATGAAACAGTAAGTACTCACAAACATAGTATTTTATAAAAAAGAAAATATAAAATATGAAAAACAATTTTCATCCTTGATTTGCTTGACTTACAGTCTTGAATACTGAAGAGTGGGGGAAAAAAACAGGTTTCAATGCAAAAAAAAATGTAACTAAAAAATGGGCAAAAGATTTGAACAGATGTCAACAAGATACACAGAGTGGCTAAAAAGCCTATGAACATGTATATGCCCGACATCATTTGTGATAGCTGCAAGTTAAAACAAAAGAGCCCACATACACTTATTACCAAGAATAGCTAAAAATCCCAATAATGGCCAATGCCAAGGGCTGGCGGGAATGCAGAGCAAAAGGAATGCCCCTTCACAGGGGTGCAAAATGGTCCGCTCTGGAAGATGGCCGGCAATTTCTTATTAAACCCAACACGGTCTTACCACACAATCCAGCAACTTCCACAAAGAAACCTGCACACATATTGTAGCAGCTTTATTCATAATCATCACAAACTGGAAGCAGCCAAGATGTCTTTCACCAGTTGAATGGATAAACTGATACATAAACGTGGTGGAACGTGGTGGGACGTTATACGGCAATGAAAAGAAATGAGTTATCAAGCCACAAAAGGACAGGAGTGAATCGTAAATACACCTAAGTCAAAGAGCTAGTGTGAAAAAGCAACGCGAGAGGCGGCAGAGAGACCGGTGGACATGGGGGCTGGACACGGGGACGGAGGAAGGGCTGACCAGGTGGAGGCCCGGGCATGCTCAGGGCTGTGAAACTACTTTGCATGGCACCAGATGGTGGACGCGCGACACCACGCACTCGTCAAAACCCACAGAACTTTCCCGCACAAAGAGTGAACCTTGATATTTGCAAATTTTTAAAAACTCATTTAGGTGGAGAGATGCCAGAATGGAACGCAGGTGACAAAAACAACTGTTACAAATGTAGGAAACCCCTCACTGAAGCGGGTCGGGGAGGTGCTGAGCCTGGGAAATCGGTGGTGACCGTAAGACTAAGGGTCTCAGACACAAGCAGTTCCCACAGCGGTAAACGGTAGCAATCCTCACACCGTACCCAAATCCTGGAAGGACGCGATTAAGTAGAGGGACAGCAATGGCGGGAGCCAGGTTCCCCCCGCTGCAGTGGGAGGGCTCAGGCCAGCAAGGAGGCCAGACTGGCCCGCGTGTGCTCTCCTGTTCCGTCCACTGCGGGCGGCTGCACGCAGAACCACGGACCGGTGCGGCTTTGCGCGCAGCTTGGTGTACGCACGCACTCACGCCCAGGAGTATGTCACAGGGACACGGAAGCCACCTGAAAAGCTCCCAGTGGCCACCGCTGCAACGACCTGAGCAGAGGTCAAGTCCCTTTCCAACGCGACAGCAACGCAGCTCCAGCCGCCGGCAAGCAAAGCAGCTATGATGCTGCGGGCCACACAGCACGGTTGTCCTCAGGCTCCCGGTCACCGCGGCCGGCGGGCTGCGCAGAGCGGCCACACGGCTGAGGACAGCAGGGCGGCG